CACTCTCCTTCCATCTCTTTTTTGTTTGTTTTTCTTACTATCATTCTTTCTTTGTTAATCGAGGCATAATTTATACAATAAAACAAGTTTAATGAGTAACTACCACTCAAACATGATTCAAAACAGCTCTGTTGTCTCAGTCTGTTTACCCCACACCTCTCTGAAGAGACGATCATTATTTTGATTTCTATCAACATAGATTAATTTTGTATATACTTGGAGTTCATGTAAATGGAATTGTATGGCATGCATAATTTTGAGTATGATGTTAGCTATAGGCTTTTCACAGATGTCATTTATCTAATTGTGTAAGTTTACTTCTATTCCTATCTTACAAAGAATTTTTCCTTTTTTTATAATAATGAATTTGTGTTGAATTTTTTCAAATTGTTTTCTTCATTTATTGAAATAATAATATGGCTTTTCTTCTTTACTCCACTCGTGTGACAGGTTACACTGATTGCTTTTCAGATGATAAAACAACTTTGTATTGGCATAAACTCCAGGTGTATATGATGTAATATCCATTTTTGAAATTGCTGCATTCAATTTGTTAATATTTTATGAAGGTTTTTCTACCTATGTTCACAAGGGATATTGGTCTATAAACCTTTCTATTTTTCTTTCATATGTTTTTATTTTTTGGTATCAACATTAGAGTAATGCCGGCCTCATAAAATGAGTTGAGAATGTGCTCTCACTCTGTGTTTTCTGAAAGAGTTAGTGTTAAATTGGCATTATGTCTCCATTAAGTGTTTGTAAGTGCACCTGGGAAACAATTTGGACTACAAGTATTTGCAAAGGGGTATTTTTGATTACAAGTTTATAAAAATTAATTTCTTATTTATTGAAATTAGTTTCAGTTATTGAAATAACTGAAAGTACTTTCAATTTTTTTAATACATCTTGGCATAAAAAACATTGATAATGTCTCATATTATACTTTTAAGGCCTGTATGATCTATCATGATAACCCTACTTTCATCTATGGTATTGGGTAATTTGTATTTTCTCTTTTTTTCTTTATCAGCTATGGTAGGTGGTTATCAACTTTATTAAACTTTTCAGTAAGCCAGTTTATGATCTTGCTAATTTTCTGTAAGGTTTGTTTTCCATTTCTTTGTTTTGTGTTCTTTGTATTATTTCCATTCTTCTGTTTAGTCAAGTTCAGTTTGCTCCTCTTTAGTTTCTTGAGTTAGATGCCTACGTTATTCATTTTACACCTTTATTTTTTTAATTATAGGTATTTTAAAGTTCTAAATGTCTAAGCACTGCTTTATCTCCTCCCACATACATTGATATCTTATGTTTTCGCTTTTAGTCTGTTTGAAGCTTTACTGCTCTAGAGCTTTCTCTTTCGTTGCTTGTGCACAATGATAAAAAAGAAAAAAACAAAAATGACCTCATACCGCCTGCACATTTGGTTACTACTAACACTTCATATATTTAGACTGCTCCCAGCCTTTTCAGAACTTACCGCAGATCTTTTCTCCTCTTTCATGCGTTAGAGTGTATAAAACCCCGTCCAGTTTCAGCTGCGCTTCTCAGATATCCCTTACACAATTTTCAGGAGTGCCTTTTGTGATTCAGGGGCTCTTCTGTTTTTAGGGAAGCCCCCCTGTTGCTTTCCTCTGCCTCCTCCTATGCATACAATATTACTACTTGGGTTTTGTGTTGTCAATGATTTGTCTCCCCTGTTTGCGTTTTGAGGTGTGTGGTGATACTGGACATGGTGTTTCTGCAGATATTTTTCTATTAGCTTTGGTTTTTAATATCTCAGTTGTTCTCTCTGTTTTTCTGTGGGGATTCAGAGAGAGATTTCAAAACAATTCTGCTGGAGCTACCTTTTCAGAACTCTGGGGCCGCCTTGATTGTGTTGCCGAGCAGTATATGTGTACTATTTCATGTTTGTAGTAAAAGAAGTGTACGGCTGATCTTTTCCAGAGAGGTCTACTTAGGAATCCTGATTACAGGGTCTTGATTATTTGGTGACCTCTGGAGTTGCCTCTTACTATGATGGCTGCATTTTCTTTGTGTTAGAACTGCAGTTCTTTTCACTACTGGCTCCTAGTGTGTCAAGGTCATTTCAAGAGTCTCACAGAACAGCCAACAGTGAGGAAGGTCCCCGATAAAATGCCTGCCCTCTTTTGTGTTCCCGTGTTGCTGTTTGGTGGATGGGGCCCTCCTGGATTCCGACTTAGGGGAAAAAAAAAAGGATAATTCAGAAAGAATGGAACCTATCCCTTCCACCCCCCCATGCAAATGGGTATCTTTCATTAGCTGAATGCCACCGAATACCAGACGGGATTGTATAACCAAAAATGCCTCTGGCATACAAGGTGCCGTGATAACTTGTAGAAATTATTACCTGTCATTTATTTGGTTATCTTTGAAAAGTGCTTATGCTTTATTCTAGGGAGTGGGGTGGTTGAATACAGTTGGGACAGCATTTGTGATCCTCAGATAATTCTTCACTCTCTGTGTCATACTTAGGAGACACATTCTTTCCCCATGGCCACTTCCAAAGAAATGGCTATATGCACAGCTCGTCATCATTGAAAATTGTGCTGTTCAGCAGTTTCACACATTGTCTTCAGTTCACTTGTAGAATACTTGTATGTCTCACAAATTCACTAAGTTTTGCACAGAGAGCATTTTTTAGTGAAAAATGCTTGCTTCTTATAAAGTTAATACATATATTGCTGTTTTAGTTTATCACATGCAAGTACTTTTCATTGAATCTTTATGATAACCTTGAAAAGCAGACATATCCTCCGCTTTATAGATGAAGAAACTGAAAAGCTCAAAACTGGAACTCAAAAGTCACTGCCTTCTTAAAGCTCTGTAGGCAATTTATGACAGAGCCAAGGGGAAATTATTCAATAATTAGAATAATTACCACCAGTATCAGAAACCTCTATGCATGCCAATAATTCAAAAATGTCTGCAGGGAACAAGGTCACATGAATGATTTTTAATAAATCAGCCTCAATTGAATTAGTTACAGTTTAGAGAAAATTTTTAGTAAGTATATATTCATATTTCATAATATAGAATACACAGTATATGTAATGGAAAATAATATGCAATACAAAATAAATTTGTTTTGTGTTGAAGCATTTAACAAACACTTTGGAAGTTAGTTTTTTGGAATTCAATTGTGTATGATTTTAAATCCTATATTCTCTCCTTTCAACCATGCTGTCTCATGATAGACCTTTCAAAATGTTGTAAGTGGCTAAAGAGATGAACCAATTATTACAACTTAGATATGTCTGCCCAAACAAACTGGCTTGGTCTGTAATGATCATTTATGAAGCATAAATACCAGGAAATGATGGAAAAGAATGAATGGGTAGTCAAGGATTTGAGACCTGATTTCTGCCATACAGGTCATAAATTGTCTTTAGGCTTATAAGGAGAATGACCGGTTTTCTCAGGAGGTAAGTATGTGTATGCTTTATCAGTTTTAATAAAATATGACCTAGATATGTCTTAGACAATTCATGCTCCCTGACATCTACTCTCCTGGCAGTCCTCACCCCATCAACACTTTCTGTGGATGCATTCTGATGTCCTTACGATAGCTCAGGGCAGCCAGATTCTCACATACCATATCCACTTAACAGCCTGACTCTCTCTCAGGATTGACTGACTTTACTGTGTCATTTTCCTACTAGGCTAACTAGGGAGAAATACATAATTCTCGGGAGCTACACATTTGGTCAAATACGTGCTGTCATCTCTCCCCAGAATCTAAAAGATGGTGGTCCTGGGAATCTTACTGCTTAGAGACTACCATGAGGCGAGTTTAAAAACCAGAACAGACTAGCCCATTGGTCATAGTCAGGGTGGCTGTGAATTCTTTATTTTGTGTGTGATGCTCAGTCTCCTTTACCTTCTGAGCATGTTCACCCTACATATCTCATTTTATTAATGCTCATTTCAATGAGATATTGTTCATATATTTTTCAGGATAAGGATTTGAAATCAGCTATATGACAAACTGAATACATACACAGATGTGTGTTAATGTACGTGTGTGTGACACATATTTTTAATCAAACAATGCAATATGGCAAAATCAAGTTGCCTTAGAAATTTTTACTTCAGAGTCAATCAAACTTGAGCTTTGTGTAGCAGCAAAAGTACTGGCCCCCTGCCAGGGTGGGGAAAAAAGGGAAGGGGGGGCAAAGTTTATTGGAATGTCACTCCTTTTTGCAGCAACTCTGGCCATACGCTGACTAGCAGCCCAGGTGTCCTCACTATGACATTACCAGTTTTATTGGCCTAGGTCCTTTTCAGGGCATTTTTTATGGGAATGGAAGACTTTTGTTGAGTCATAAAGCTACCATTTACCAGTTGTATGTTCTTTGTCAACTAGGCCTTCTGAAACTCTCCTGAGCTTCATGTAGTTGTAGTATGAAGCAGCACCTTCTAAAGACTGACACGATCAGTCTACTGTCACAGGGCTGGCTGCCATATTGGTATCTACTCAATGATGTTGCCATGATCTGATGAGCGACTTTGTCACCATGTCCTGGCACTCGCTTTTTTCTTTTTTCCTCAGCAATGTAGGAAACCAAACTGTATGTAAGCAATATAAAATACATAGAGAATACGTAGTAGTTTGGGGACAAATGGCTAATATTTCATTTCTTTAGAGTATAGAAAAAAATTATAGACCTGCTACTTACAATATGTCCCAACTTAACTCAGGTTTATTTCCGAAATATGTCAGTCACTTAGGGATTAACTTTGAAAATGGAATTGGACCAAGGATAGTTATCAGTATATGGAGGATTCTTATCAGCTGCTACTGTCTGTATCCAAAACTCTAACATGAGACCATAAGCGACTACTGTTGATGCTTGAAGGTTTGAGTCTTCTTAGCAATAATAACTGTGTATAAATGAAATCACCGTTTGGATGGAGAAAGAATATCCCATACTGGAAAGTAATCATAGCTTTTATGCTCATGTGTGTGTGTGCTTTGACAGCTTTTTGGAGACCACAGCCTATTTCTTCATGAAACCAAAAATTGGAGAGAAGGAGGTGTCCCCAAATGTTTTCTTCAGTATCTGGCATGAATTCAGCTCTGACTTTAAAGACTTTTGGAAGAAAGAGAACAAACTCATTCTACAAGAAAGGTAGGTTTTTTTCATTTGCACAATGGCATTTTAAAACTGGTATTTTATTAGGTGTGACACCACTGGGGTTGCCAACTTTTATAGCCTGAATGAAAAATTAGATGGCCCTCAACCTGGGATATCAAGTCTAACAGGGTGCTGAGAACTGACAAAATTTGGAGTTTGAATAAGAAGGGTTGGCACAGAGGCTATGATGCTACAGAGAATAGCTGGGAAAATGGTTTGCCAGGACCACCGTCTGGTAAAACAACTTCTGTGATGAGGAAACCGCAAAAAAGCAGAGCGTGTAAGTCGAGGGGAACAACCCGGCTGAGATGATAAACCTACACACCTCCAAAGGCCAATAGCAAAGACTATATAAAGGTAAGATAAATCACTTGTGTTTTGTCTTGTTTTTGCTCAATTCATGAGATATTGTCCAAATTTCACCATTTGTATTAAAGTTTCTGGCAGACGTCACCAAGAAACAGATGATCGATATTTTTTAAAAGATCTTTCAGGACTCTTGTAGAATTACACCACATTTCCTAAAGTAAATCTTTTTCAGGAATGAAGGGAAATTTTTTCTCTAAAGTATATGAAATTTGTCACTGATTATGAAATTCCATAGAGGCGTATTAAATATTAATTCAGGAGGAAAGCTAGCCCTCCCAGGACAGCAGCCCCAAATAGCTGGGTCTACTGGGAGAATGAAAAAGAAACACTATCAGCACTATAAACCACATGCTAAAACTGAACCAATTAGTTTACTTTCCAACATCCTTGCACTAACAGTGACTTTGCTTTAGCTCTTTAGAACACTTGCCTCCAAAGGGACTTTGTTTGTCATACCACAAATTTCCACAGTTTCTGCTTATTGTCTTCCTTACGTACAAAACCATGATTATCCACCTAGTTTTCATTTGTAACTAGATTCTGATAGGATACATCCTTAATTCAGTTGAAATTAATTGCTGGCACTTTTGGAGCACATAGACTGTGCTATGAGTGCTAACTCATATAATTAATTAGTTAGATTCCATGGTGTTTTCAAAGTTTCTTCTGTATACCTCAATGAATAGTATATGGAAAAAGAGAGTGGTCTGAACAGAAGGGAAAATACTTTAAATAGCCACTCTAAAGATAATGAGAGTATTCTACTCCAAAGTGCCTCGTTATGGGTTAACCTAAAAGATGCAATTTTCGTCAAAAGTCTATGCAGGTGAGATAGGAGAGATAATTACTGAAATAGAAGCACACTTACATTGTCACTCATGTCCTTCAAACTTAACTCTATATTCCCTTTAAAAAAAATTTTTTTTACCAAGCAAGGGCTGTCAGGTTGGAAAATCGTGAAGAGGAACCTTTTTTCGACTTCAGCACATTAGCTACAACGTCCCTTTATGTCCCTCACTGGTCCCCACAGGCCTTTTTCCTCTCTAATCTCAACTTATTCCCCTCGAAAAGGGCCGACAACTCAGTCACACAAATGTACAAATCTGACAGATGAGTATTTCTTTTTCTTCTAAGATATTCATTCATTCATTCATTCATTCATTCATTCATTTAATTGAGAGAGAGAGCAGGGGGAAGAGCAGAGGGAGAAGGATAAGCAGACTCCACCCTGAGCCCAGAGCCTGACACGGGGCTCGATCTCACCACCCTGAGATCATGACCTGAGCCGAAATCAAGAGTCAGATGCTCAACCGACTCGAGCCATCCAGGTTCCGCTGACAGATGAGTATTTCACCACGTACAGCCATTTGCTTGGTTGCAGGGGCTAGAGTCCTAAATGAGAGCGGAAGTGAGGAGAGACAGGCGTGAACAAGACAGAACTGCTGGTGCTGTAGTTTTGGAGTAACTGTTCTGATAGCACATCAGGGAAGTACGTAAATCACAGCAGAAGGCTGGCATGTTCCTGTGGCGGTTTCTTGGGAGGTCCTGGGACAAGAAGGTGGGTGGACACTTTTCTTGTAGTTTGCCTTTACTCTGTACATCTGTACATGTGCTGGTGAGATGTCATCACAGGGGAGCTGTTGAGATTGACTAATTCAGTTGCACAGCTCCCCAATGATACTCAGTCTCATCCAGCCTGTGCTCCATGAGTAGAGTTGTGTCCCTAAATAACACTTTGATACCAAGCCACTATTCCGTGATATTTTATGCATTTAACATGACCAAAACTAGCTTTTCTTCCCTGGGTATCTCATAAAATCAACTAGATGCTTCTTTTATACTTCATCCTGTGTTTGTCATGTTTTAGGACTATACTGTGGCTTTTTTGACTCAACCCTTGGTGATTCCGCTTTTTGACACAACCTTTGGTGACTTTGCTCACCCCTTGGTGGTGGTGTTGTGAATTCGCAGATTACAAGTGCTCTTCACTGCAGACTTCTCATCGCTCAGAATCATTTGCTTTTAACAAAGGGCTAAGGAGGACTGTGTGGCAGGTGAGCCAGTGCTTCTCTGCCCTTTAACGTCTGAAATTTGTTACACCTCCTGGCAGATAGGCTGCTTTGATAAGCAAGACCATCGGTCTGGCTCATTTGTAGAAAAACTTTGTCCCTTTCCTTAGTGTAGGACCAGTGACACCATTTCCAGGAAGCAGTGCAAAATGAAAATATGGGGCCCCTTGTTAAAAAATTATTAAACAATTTCAAGGCAGCAAGTACAGAGCCCTTCCAAAAGTGCACAAACAACACCCACAAGCCAGCCTTGCCCTAGTGTAAGCTTTGTATCATATTTTCTGTAGGTAAATGGAAGGGTATTTTAGGAATGCTTCGTATGCTCAGACATTGATAGGAAGCGGGATGTGGTCAGTTAAATGTGTTAAACTTCTGGTACAATCTGTGATGATCTGAGTAGAACTTCACATAGCACCACAGATACCTAAAATGGGTATCTGCATCCCCAACCTGATTGTTCCTTCCTCTGTACCCTGTATTTATTATCTGTATATTTTGTTTAGTCGGTTTTATACTATGATGATGCCTCATAATGTGTCTGTTTTTATTTTATACCATAACTATTTTGATATTTGCATTTTAGTCTTTATTTCCCAGTGAGATGTTTTGCGTCTTCATTTCTGATGTAGCTCTCACTGTCACTAAGCCACAGTGCCTTTTCATCCTTCTGGTCTCCATAAATATTTGCTGATTTGACTTGTTACATCACTGCATTTGACACAGACATGGGAATAAGAACTTAGCTTATGAAGTAATGAACATGCTTTCCTACATAGCTTAAGCTTATCATTGTAAGGAATAATAATAATAAAAAAATTACAAATACCTTAAGCAAAAAGAAAGGCATTATTTAGACAGTCAAAGCACAGAAGGGCAGGGATGGAACTTGCATGTGGATTGCCTGAATACAGAAATTCTAACTGCAGTCTGTGGGGGTTAGTCAGGTGCTTCCGTGCTGTCTCTCACTGTCTGTCTTTCTAAATGTCCTCCTTTCTCCTCCACTTCCTCCTCCTTCCTCTTCTTCTCCCCCTCTCTCTTTCTCTCACTCTATTCTCATTCTCTCACTCTCTCCCCCTCTCATCTCCCTACCACCACTCTCCTCTGTGGTTTTGTCTCGTTTCCAAGTCAGGCTGTTCCTTTAAGGGTGGACCCACGGCCATTGGTCACAGCCATGGCTCCCATTCTCACAACCCAGTAGGAGAGAGCACTCTCCACCATCTAGAAACATTCCGAGGAAGAACTCTGGATGAGTTGTGCCCAGTTCTGGATCAGGCACTGTGGCCAGAGGTGTGGGGTACCACAGTTAGTTCAGCAGTTCGCAAACCCAGTTGTGCAGCCAGAAAGGAGGGCAGCCATAATTGGCAGTCCCCTTCGTAGCAGTCACTGGAGATAGGGAAAAAGTTTCCAACAAAAGTAAATAATAATATTACTACCCCAAATTTATTAAGCCTTTAAAAATAACCTGCGTAATTAGCAGAATGTCTTAGCATGGTAGTAAAAACCTGAACGATGGTTTCATGATGTTCCCTGGTCTAATTTGGAATTCACAGATTGACTATCTTTAAGGTTGCAAATCCTGTAAAAGTATTTCTTATCCCATCATTTCTATTTGGTTCTGATTATAGAGTCACGGTAACTTTGTGTTTTCTGGCTTTGTCCTGATGACTCCTATGATTGAGTACATATATTTCTTGAATTGGTGAATTCCTACACATCCGTGAAAGGAATTAAAAAGGTCTGCTCTCTTTCTCATTGATGTGGTTTGGAAAACATGAGGATTTTTGAGTTAGCTCTTCCACTTACCAGCCTAGTCATAGAAAGTCATAGTTTTCTAAACTGCAAAATGGAGATAGTAATACCTCTCTTGCAGCGTTATTGTGTAGACTAAATGAGATAATATATTTAGAGTATATAACAGTGTCTACATGCCAAATGCTCAATGGCTCTTCATCCCTCATTTAATATAAATGATATCCTGATCATGTTACCTACAAATGTAACATATCGATAAGGCATTCTAAACTGCAAAATGGAGATAGTAATACCTCTCTTGCAGCGTTACTGTGTAGACTAAATGAGATAATATATTTAGAGTATATAACAGTGTCTACATGCCAAATGCTCAATGGTTCTTCATCCCTCATTTAATATAAATGATATCCTGTTCATGCTACCTACAAATGTAACATATCGATAAGGCATGTTAAACATCTTAACATATTCAGTGGATACAAGGCATTTCTGTGACTCAATTACTTTGTGGGTAGGCAGAATGTCTTGATTATGAAGCCAAGGGCAAGCTTTTGTTTGAGAAGTTTCACACGGTCCATCCCTCTATTATTTACATAATGACATACAAAGGAATTCCCGTTTTGATGCTTTAAACAACTGACCCATTGGTTTTGTCATGAGTCAGAAAAAGTGTTTTTTCATGTACTTGCAACTAGGCATACACAATTGTTAATAAGAAACCCTTCTCAAAAAAGAAATCTAGACTTGTTATCACTGAGCAACACAAAACATATGAAAAATCGTTTAAAAAAATGAGCTTGGCTATATC